AGAGACCCTATAGGCCAGAGTAGAACTATCCCGTAGAATTCCCAACGTTAAAATCTTTATGAAAGCAGATTGCCGTTATCTTTCTCCCGCTGAGTAGCTGGTGGATTTGAACCGCTGACCTTTTGGTTGGCAGCCGAGTGCTTAACCACTGCACCAGCAATGAAGGAAAATCAAAATTCACTTTCCAGGATTCCTATTCCAATGTGTCTTTTCTGAGACAGAAGGAAAGGAAAAACGAGAAACCAAAGTGCTATCTAAAATCGCTTCCAGATCCCGAGAAATATAATTTGTATTACCTCAGGAAGCAAGGAGTCCAATAGAACCTGAGCCTCCATGGAAACTTCAGAAATGTAAAAGGGTATGTTCTGATGGTAAATTCAGAGTGAAGAGACCCATAAAGATTTTAATATTCATCTCATTTGTTCATTTTGAATATGAAAACTATTACAAAGGAAGTATTGTTAAGTACAGAGGCCCTTGAGGCTCCTTATCGTCTTTCAAAGTACTTTATAAATAATACCACCCCTTGAGATAAAGGGAGTTTCATTTAAGAGAAGAGAAATCGCCCTAAACTATGCCTGCTGTAGAAGAAAGCAGAGGAAAAAAATAGAGTGTACATTAGAATAGGGATCGTCTAGGCAGGCTGCCCAATAGATTATAATGAGGCTTAACATTTTAAATTTAGTAGTAGCCGCATAAAAAGAAACAGGTGAAATTAATGTTATCATTTCAGCATGTAACCAAGATAAAAATTATTGAGCTATTATATATACTTTTTTTGTACTACGTCTTTGAAATCCAGTGTCTATTTTACACTCAGAGCATATCTTATTTCAGACTAACCTCATTTCAAGTGCTCAGTAGTCGAGCTAGCCATTACCCATTGCCGTTGAGTCAATTCTGACTCATAGTGACCCTATAGGACAGAGTAGAACTGCCCCATAGGGTTTCCAAGGAGCAGCTGGTGGATTCAAACTTGCAACCTTTTGGTTAGCAACCAGAGCTCTTAACCACTGTGCCACCAGGGCCCCCACATGTGGCTAGTGGCTATCATATTGGACAGAATAAGTCAAGACAGACTGTTTTACTATCTGTCCCCATGTGATGGTATACACTTTAATGTCCCTATGTCCTTGTAAATGTCTGTCTTTTAGCCTGAGATCTCTTCCCTCGAGATCTAGCTCCTTTCTGAAGGATCATCTGTCCCACTAAGCAGATTTAATCAACTGGGTGCGTATTCTCTGTTATCTTGAAGCTCAACGAGTCTGTGAGTCCTTACCACCCGCTCACAGTGAGATGCGCATTAAATACCTCCTCGCTTTGAAGCAGTTTTAATCTGGAGTAAGAGCTGGTGGCTGCCCACCTAACCCCCACATTTTCTTGCCTTGATTTTTGTTGTTTTGTTGGCGTATTGTTTTTTGCTGTTTGTTCCTGTTCTCCTCAAACAGGCTGTAAGCTCTGTAAATAAAGGCATCTTGTCCTACATACCTTCTCAGTGAACCTCCTTGCTCCCGCCTTGGCCAAGCAACATGTTGAGCACATAGTGAGATTGGAAGGAGCAGACAGTAAATGAGGGGACGTGTGTGTTTCATTCCTCTGAGAGCAATCAAACTGCAGGTGCTAGAGCCATTTTTTCTCCTTCAACCAGAGCCCTGATGAAAATGGTGGAAGATGTGTAATAGGAGCACATAGTAGAGTTCTTCCAAGTGTTTTCTACCAGCTTAATGTTCATAAAAGGAGCCCTAGTGGTACCATGGTTAAGCATTCAGCTGCTAACAGAAAGGTTGGCTGTTCGAATCCACTCAGTGGCTCTGCAGGAGAAAGACTCGTAAAGATTACAGCCTAAAAAACCCTATGGGGCAGTTCTACTCTGTCATATGGGATTGCTATGAGTTGAAATCGACTTGACAGCACCTAGCAACAATGTTCATAGACTTTAGGCTTTCCCAGTGCCCAGGTGGAAAAGTTAATACTCATGTGCTCTCTTTGCAGAATCAGACACCAAACAGCTATGAATAGAAACCTCTGAAGCTGGAAGTGGAGGAGAACTTGGAACCGTGTGGGCTGGCTTCTAGAAGCTCTCTTTCCACACCTAATACTCTGTGGTAGAGAGGGAAGCCCACAACTTTGGGGTCAGAGGAGAAGTGGAATCACATCCTTACGTTTCTGCTGTATAACCTCTGTGAGCCTTTGGTCTTTCATTAGTAGAATCAATACAATGGGATAATAATACCTCGCAGGCTTGTTTTTTTCTCTTTTTTTACTTTTGATATAGATACACACACAAAAGAAAAGAAACCCAAACCTGTTGCCGTCGAGTCGATTCCAACTCATAGTGACCCTACAGATAAACAGGAAGCTGTTAAAAATAGAGAGGTCCCCTGTACTCATCACCCAGCTTCTCCCAATGGTAACATCCTACATAACCACAGAACCAGGGCTTCCAGCTGGTTCAGTCCAGTTCGAACCCCCGCTGAGAATTTGCATTTCCACCCCAGATAGACTGACTCAGAATCTACAGTTTAACAAGATCCCCAGGTAATTGTTATGTATAATAAATTTTGAGAACCACTGCTCTGCTAGTGGTTCTCTGAGTTGGTACCTAGCCAGCAGCATTAGCATCACCTGGGAACTTGTTAGAAAAAGCCCAGCACAGAACAATATCAAAACCAGGAAATTGACGTTGGTATAATCTATAGGCCTTATTCAGATTTCACTGGTTTTACATGCACTTGTGTGTATGTGTGTTGGCAGTTCTCTGCGGTATCATCACAGGTATAGATTCGTGTAATCACCACTACAATTCCTATACAGAACT